GGTCGAAACGAATAAAACGTGTTTAACTACCTGCGACGCACCGAATCCGTCGCAATACCGACGAAAATGTCTGTCCCCATCCGTCGCTACTTCTATGCGACGCAATGTATCCGTCCCAATCCGTCGCATAATTTTCCGACGAAAGTTCGGTCGCAAATATCGGTCGCAGTCCGTCGCAATCCGTCTGACAAAATTACCGACTGAAATATCCGTCGGTTGTTGTCGAAATTTTTCGACGGATTGAGCGACGGTTTACGACGGATGCAAATCCGTCCCATTACCGTCGTTGTCCGTCGCAAATATCTATCGCGACGGAATTTCCGTCGCAATGTCCGTCGGTAAATACAGTTTTCCTTGTAGTGTAAGCATCTCATATGTTGATGGTAAAAACACAAACACTTTGACCTTCGCTTCTAAACATCATCAGCGAACATGTCGGAGATGAAGGTGGTGTGAAAGTTTGGATTTGATAAGCAAAGGCTGAAGAACAGAGGGATCAAAAGAGAGAATGGAGATATTTTTAACAAAAGAATTCTCTGAGTTGTATTGCTTTCGATACAACGATGCACATGTATATGCTACCACTACAAAAAAAAACCCTAATATCAACGGATTTTTCCGTTGAAATAACCCAAATATCTTTTGAAAATCGACGATTTCAACGGATATTGCAACAGACACGCAACTCTAGGATTGACGAACCGACCATCGGAACGTCTATGCGTCCGATCAACCAACTCAACGATGGACGATTTTCGTCTCATTTCTCGTTGCTACAAATATAATATATAAAATATATGAAATAAATATATAATTATAACTTATGATAATATAATTAAAATTAATATCAATTTTTTTGCCCATTTTCTGAAAGATTTGACGCTAGAAGTGCGACGATGAGGACCATCTCCTTCAACTTGTTGGCTGAGACGACTCTCTCTGATTTTTCGACTCTTGTCTCTGAATTGATCTGAATTCCAACGCATTAAAAGAGCGTTGAAGATGTCATCTGTCGCCCACAATGGTCGCTCTCCCTTTTTGTCGTACTTCCAATTTGCATTGCTCATGAGAAGCTTGATTCCCGTCTGTCCCAACACGTTAAACTCCTTGTAAACTCTATCGATGATTGATTTTTTCCACCGAAAAGTTTGCTAGAAAAAATACACACACATTAGTATTAATTTAAGGAAAAAACCCCTAAAAATTCTTGAACTTGTAATTTTGAGTAATATTAATTTTTAAACTTGTAGAAGTGCCTATTAATTCCCAAACTTGCAAAATTGAACACGTTAAATCATGCACTTGTTAAACGGTTCTATAATCGTCCATAGCGTTATTTGGTCAAAAAATGAGTTGGCCGATCCGACGTAGCGCGTGATGTGGCGATAATTTTCTGAGTTGGCTTGCCACGTCATGCGCCACGTCGGATCGATCAACTTGTTTTTTTGACCAAATAACGCTATGAACGATTATGAAACCGTTTAACAAGTTAAGGATTTAACATGTTCAATTTTGCAAGTTTGGAAATTAATAGGCACCTCTACAAATTTAGGAATTAATATTACTCCAAAATATAAGTTCAAAAATTTTTAGGGTTTTTTCTCTAAAAAAAATAAAAAGATAAAATAATGAATTACAAGAAGAGAAGTAGCCTAAGTAAGTAGTATTGCTACTACGAACTGCCAAATCATGACATAGTCTGAATCATGTAAAAATACACATACAAATATATATATAGACCTTCGACGCTTACAATAATTTCAAAATAGAGGAAACACAGACTTTTTTGAAGTTATAAAAAACATGCACTATCACACCAGTACGTTTTGTTATAATAACAACTATATTTTGTTATAAAGAAAAAAATCTAATAGTGGTAGTTTTCTATCAAATATTCAAAATCTAAATTGATTATGAATTGTTTTAGAAAAAAATATATTAAAAAGGATATTTGAAAAAATACATTTAATTTAGAAATATCTTTTTTAATATAATTTTTTCTAAAAGAATTCATAATCAATTTAGAAATTAAAGGGGTAATCGCATAAAAATACCCGAACTTTTACAAAAATCCTAAATAAATACCCGAACTATAAAATTATCATATAAATACCTGAACTTTTCAAAACTTCCATATAAATACCCAAACTTTTAAATTTTTTCCAAATCAAACAAACACAATTGCTGACTCAGCAAAAAACTGTCGACTCAGCAAAAATCTGGTGACTCACAAAAAAAAACTGTTGACTCAGCAAAAAACTGCTGACTCACCATTCAAAAATATTATTAAATATTCAAATATTCATCTACATGTATTTAAATTAATATATACACATAAATTCACACATATATACATATATATATATATATATATATATTAAAAATAAAATTATTTATAATTAATAAAACACATAT